CCTTTCCTTTATTGTCTGAGGTTTCTGGTGGAGGTGTTGACAGACACCGCATGTACCGCCCGTGTTGGGGAATAACGTGATCTAAGGTACGTTTTTGTAACACTAATTAGTTGTTTTTCTTTCACGCTGTTAAACGCCAGCCCCGCGCTAGGCGTGCTGGCAGTGGATGCTAGTGTTGGCCTAGCAATAGTGAAAACCCAAATAGTGGTGTCTGAATATATGCCGAACTGAATGCGGGTTAAAGAGGATTCATTTGACACATTTGACTCGTGTTTTACTCGTCTGTGCGTTGACTGAGCAGTGAAACATCTTTTAAACGCAGGTTTTTTAAACGGAGTTTCGGACGGGTGCCACATATGAAGGTTCGTTGTTGTGGTTGTTAGCAGCCAGTGTGATCTGATGGGTGTTTCATGATCAAATCATATTACATTAAACTGTATTGTTTTGGTCTTTTGGGCAAGGCATGCAGGGAAGGTCTGCTGATGTTCCAGTCAGAGGTTTCTGGTTATGCAGTTAAAGTGGTCCAGTCAGTGTCACATGCCCACAAACCCTCAGGCCCTGTCCAGTGTGTTACATCCAGGCTGAGTGCAGATGCTGGGATACGACACAGAGAAGCAAGGCAAATAACAAATTAAAGATAAGAAGGATATCTTTATGTACTTAGGTAGATTTTCTGGTTGGAGGAAATCATTGGTGATTTGGGACTGTGTTATTTGTTTTGGATCGGCTTATACCCAGATAATGATTTTCTGCTCGCAGCACTTGCTTGTTGGTCCACTTCTGGATAAGAGCATCAGCTGAATGCGTAGTTAGATTAGACATGAAGGGAGATAAAGTCTGCAAAAAGCTGATGCAAGCAGACAGTCGCTCTGGGACAGCTGTGACAGACGAGTGTTGTGTACAATGCCACTGTGTGTAAATGGGTTACTGTCTCGCTGCTGACATGTTTCACCTTCATAATGTGCAATAATCTGTCACCCACAATAAGTGATGGTTTCCAGATTGCGTTCCGAATTTTCTCCAGTGTTTTCAAGCCAAAGGAAATGGTTTGTGTTTGTGTGTGTGGTCAATGAAACCCCACATTTAATTTAATTTCTTGCTCTTGCTAATTAATTTCCAAAAGGTTAGATCCAAATCAGAAGCGCAGGCTGTATCATAATACACAAGAAGCTGGATTTGTTACTCATGAGATGACTCACTCAGCCTGGCTCATTTTAAATCAGGGAGAAGGAAAAGAAGAAGCTCTCATCTGAGAGACGTTGCTATGATCAGTACAAACAGAATGGATGCAGAATCTTTCCACCCTGCTCATACTGATGTCAGTAACTATGAAAGATGATTGACGTTTGCAATATTTTGTGCATACAGTTGTTCCTAGCCCTGCTGTGAATGTGACTATTATAATTCCAACATCAGGCAGTCAATACCAGCATCATTAGTGGGTCAGTGAAGTATATCTGCCAGGCCTCTAATGGTGAAAGGCACATTTAGGCTGTAGCATTGCGTGCCTCGCAATAATCTCCTTTATGGAGCAAACAGTTTGAGCTTCAGTGTTATGTAAGCAGAGGATGAATGTTACCCAAGGACTGTCTTTTCCACAGGCACACTTGCAGATACACACACGCAGATATGCCTGTGATAGGTCTGCATGCAGATGGATGGTTGGCTTTATGACCTTTTGCTGCTTTTGCTTTTTGAGCGTTGTTTTTCTCACGAGCGTCCCAACTTTATGGAAGTACAGTAATGAATTGCAGCAGTTCCCTCTTTACTTCATGTTTTTAACGTTTCCAGCAGCACCGGTTTGTTTTGAAGAAATGTGTGAATAAGAACAGTGATCGCCACTTGGGCACGACAGCCTATCGAAGTTCCATACATACTGTACAGAAGTGTCCACCGCTGGCTAAATGTCTTGGATCTGGGAGCTCAGCCATTTTTAAGAGCGTGCATCCTGTCTCAGTCCTCTAGAGAGAGGCAACAGGATGTGGGAGGGCTCTGTCTCACCCCTCGGCCCTCCCTTGAAACAGTATGTGGCACATAAGAGGGAAATGAGAATGCGTCAGGTTTATAGCAGCTGGCCCGCTCTGTCCTTGTCAGCAAATGATCTATCTCCAAAATCTCTGTCAGAAAGACGGCACGAAGTGGAAATCTTGTAGCTTCTTGAGATTTTAAAGGTTGATTGATTGGAGTTTTAATAGTGGCATTTAAAATCTGTCAAAGAAGATGCCAGACGATCAGCGATTCACAACAGCAAACACTGTGGGAGGAATGTTTCTTTCATCGGGCTTTAAATGTCAGCAACCAAGTGGGAAGGAGAAAAGAA